AAGATTTAACTTAGCACTCACTGCATCTCGGGGCTTAACCAACTGTTAAACCGATTCTCCAGTTCTTGAGGATAGTCGAAATGATTCAACGTCACAAATGGTATAATCCCTAGAAACATATACATGAAAATATTAATATTTTGAAATTATATTCCTGTACTTATTTCATCAATGGAAAATAAATAAAGATTTCTTTTAAAGTGAGAGTAATTATCACCATTTCTAATGAGAGCGTCGATCAAACTGTTGTAATGCTTTATTCCCAAATAATTGATACCTCCAATTCTCCCTTCTGTATTTTCCAAGGACCAAGGTTTGTTTAGAAACTTTATATCATTAAAAAATAAATCTGGTCGTATTCATTAAACTTTATATCATAAGATAAACAGTTTTATTTAGTCCTTATTGAATATCTCGTTTCCGGTTTAGATATATCAATCGATCGATTGGTGATAGAAACTAATTTTAACATATTATACTCATAAATCATGATTAAGAAGTAAAGAGACTTACTAGGTAAGACTCTAGACCAAGAAATGGATAATCTGTAACTGTTGACGCCAAGATTAGTCATTGATTGGATATCCTCCTGTAATAATAGATAGTGGATAATTTAAAATTATAAAATCAACCACGTTCTTCACTATATATGAAATTTGAAAAAAAAAAGTTACAAAAAATTATAAGAAAATTATTTAACCATGAATAGATGGTATTGATCAACAGCTGTATCTCCATGGCTCTCATCCAGTATTTTCTCTGCATTTTGCCATATAGTATTGTCAATGGAATGAACACGGGATTTTCAAAACGACAACTTGCCGACAAATAATCGAATAATGTTAAAATTACAACTAAATTTAACATATAAGCATGCGCCATATGTGTGACGTAGAAAAAAAACATGCGTCATATGACATTATTTTTTCCAATAATTTTTAAACTCCGACCTAAACTCTAATCTATATGGACCAGTCCCGTGTACAAGTTTTAAGTTCCCATTGTGTAGGCATGTTAGACGGGCTAATCCGGTCCGGTCCGGCCCGAAACGCGTAAAGCCCGTCTATATATAAGTTTGGCCCGGTCCAGTCCGAAAAATATTCGGGCCTATTTTTCAAAACCCGGTCCGGTCCGAACAGGACTACAGGGCTTTATGGATTTTTTCGT